GCCTGATGTGAGGGAGCACTCTGATGGGAATACCTGATGTAAGGGGGCAATCTGATGGGAATGCCTGATGTAAGGGTGCACTCTGATGGGAATGCCTGATGTATGGGGGCACTCTGATAGGAAAACATTACTTAAGGGGGCGCTCTGATGGGAACGCCTGATATAGGGGGGTACTCTGACTGTGGCAACTGACTTATGGGGAAAGTCTGATGGTGGCACCCAATGTAATAAATTACTCTGGAAGGGGAACCTGATATAAGGGGGAACACTAATGAGGACATTTATTTTCAGACCTCGGCCAGAAGAGAGTGGACCTCCTTGAATTTTAATCCAATACCCCTGCTCTATGCCAACCATGGCCAACAGAAGCAAGTGGGTGGAGAATAGGCATAGGGCAGTCTGCCTACTATATGAGCGAGGGAGTGTTCCACATCCTCGTCCTGGGCAAATCCTCATCTATGCATGTGCTATCCCCTCTCAGCTTTTAAAAAGCAAGAAATTGGCCGAGCATGCACAGTTCACACTCTATGCCAACCATGACCAGTCAGAGGAATGGGGTGGAGAACGGGCACAGGTTGGTACACCCATTCTATATCATGAGTGAGCAGCGGGGGAGAGGAGGCGTAGTTCCATATTCTTGCCCTGGGCGATGAATGAACCCTTCCACTATTGTGTCTAAGCACTTCCCTTTACCCTCCTTGCTCTACCCCACTTTCATGTACAAGGGGCGTGCAAGTCAACCCGGGACTTTTCATTTTATAGCTATAAAAAGGGATGGTAGCGTGGCGGTACTAAACACAGTATAAGTGGCAAGTGTGTCCTATTACTGATAGGTGGAGCACATGTCACAGGCCAGTCAAGAGACCGTCAATCAAGATGGCGGACAGCAGTGTTAGTGCGTGCATGGGACAGAGCGTGGTGATGAAGTTTCCACGTAAAACCCGCAGATATCTACAGAAGACTTCAAGCTCAACGCGGTGATGAGACGTTCAGTAAGACATTTGAATGGTGGAAATGTTTCAAAGATGGCCGTACGTCCATCAGTGACAATCCCGGTGTGGTGGTTCCCAACCCACACCAGTCATTCTTGTGAATATTCAACGCATGGAACGCCTGATCCTGAATAATCGACCCATAACCTGTCATAAAATTGCACAAGAGACAAATCTTTCTGTGGAAATGGTGAACACGATCATTCACAAACATTTGCGTTTTCAAAAAGTTAGCGCACGCTGGGTCCCAAGACAGCTTTCCGCTTTTGACCGGCACAGAAGTGATGTGCATACGCATCCAAAATAGCCTGGTTTGATCACCAACGGCGTCCTGTTTCTCCAGGACAACTCATGAGTTCATACTGCTCACCCCGCTATGGGCACATTACAGCAACATGGCTGGGGGGTATTCCACATCCCCCTTACAGCCCAGACATCGCTCTGAGTGATGTCCATCTGTTTGGACCCCTAAAAGAGTTCCTCGGAGGTTAGCATTTCAGCCCTGATGACAAAGTGAAGCCGGCTGTCCTAGGATGGTTCAAGCATACTGAAAATTTTTCCATGCCGAAGCTTTCCAGGCATCGATTAAACGCTGGTGTATAAATGTAGCAGGGGAGTATGTCAAAAAACAAAGTTCCCATTCTTTGAAATTTATTTTTTTATTATACAGGTGAAACTCGAAAAATTAGAATATGGTACAAAAGTTCATTCATTTCAGTAATGCAACTTAAAAGGTGAAACTGATATATGAGATAGACTCATTACATGCAAAGCAAGTTAGTTCAAGTTAGTTCAAGCCGTGATTTGTCATCATTGTGATGATTATGGCTTACAGATCATGAAAACCCCAAATCCACAATCTCAGAAAATGAGAATATTGTGAAAAGGTGCAATATTCTCGGCTCAAAGTGTCCCACTCTAATCAGATAATTCAGCCATAACACCTGCAAAGGGTTCCAAAATGGTCTCTCAGTCTGGTTCAGTAGGAATCACAATCATGGGAAAGACTGCTGACCTGACACCATCATTGACACCCTCCATAAGGAGGGAAAGCCTCAAAAGGTAATTGCAAAAGAAGTTGGATGTTCCCAAAGTGCTGTATCAAAGCACATTAATAGAAAGTTATGAGGAAGGGAAAAGTGAGGAAGAAAAAGGTGCACAAGCAGCAGGGATGACCGCAGCCTGGAGAGGATTGTCAGGAAAAGGCCATTCAAAAGTGTTGGGGACTTTTACAAGGAGTGGACTGAGGCTGGAGTCAGTGCATCAAGAGCCACCACACACAGACGGATCCTGGACATGGGCTTCAAATGTCGTATTCCTCTTGTCAAGCCGCTCCTGAACAACAAACAAGAAAAACAGACCTGGTCTGTTGCTCAGTGGTCCAAAGTCCTCTTTTCTGATGAGAGCAACTTTTGCATCTCATTTGGAAACCAATGACCCCGAGTATGGAGGAAGAATGGAGAGGCCCAAGGACCCCGAGTATGGAGGAAGAATGCAGAGGCCCAAGGATCCCAAATATGGAGGAAGAATGGAGAGGCACAAGGACCCCGAGTATGGAGTAAGAATGGAGAAGCCCAAGGATCCCGAATATGGAGGAAGAATGGAGAGGCACAAGGACCCCGAGTATGGAGGAAGAATGAAGAGGCCCAAGGATCCCGAGTATGGAGGAAGAATGAAGAGGCCCAAGGACCCCGAGTATGGAGGAAGAATGGAGAGGCAAAAGGACCCCGAGTATGGAGGAAGAATGCAGAGGCCCAAGGATCCCGAGTATGGAGAAAGAATGGAGAGGCACAAGGACCCCGAGTATGGAGGAAGAATGGAGAGGCCCAAGGACCCCGAGTATGGAGGAAGAATGGAGAGGCCCAAGGATCCCGAGTATGGAGGAAGAATGGAGAGGCCCAAGGATCCCGAGTATGGAGGAAGAATGGAGAGGCACAAGGACCCAGAGTATGGAGGAAGAATGGAGAGGCCCAAGGACCCCGAGTATGGAGGAAGAATGGAGAGGCACAAGGACCCCGAGTATGGAGGAAGAATGGAGAGGCACACACTGCAAGATGCTTGAAGTCCAGTGTGAAGTTTCCACAGTCTGTGTTGATTTGGGGAGCCATGTCATCTGCTGGTGTTGGTCCACTGTGCTTCATTAAGTCCAGGGTCAACGCAGCCGTCTACCAGGAGATTTTGGAGCACTTCATGCTTCCTTCCGCAGACGAGCTTTATGGGGATGCTGACTTCATTTTCCAGCAGGACTTGGCACCGCCCACACTGCCAAAAGCACCAAAACCTGGTTCAATTACTGTGGGATTACTGTGCTTGATTGGCCAACAAACTCGCCTGACCTGAACCCCATAGGGAATCTATGGGGCATTGCCAAGAGAAAGATGAGAGACATGAGACCGAACAATGCAGAAGAGCTGAAGGCCGCTATTGAAGCATCCTGGTCTTCCATAACACCTCAGCAGTGCCACAGGCTGATAGCTTCCATGCCACGCCTCATTGAGGCAGTAATTGCTGCAAAAGGGGCCCAAACCAAGTACTGAGTCCATATGCATGCTTCTACTTTTCAGAGGTCCGATATTGTTCTATGTACAATCCTTGTTTTATTGATTGCATGGAATATTCTCATTTTCTGAGATTGTGGATTTGGGGTTTTCATGAGCTGTAAGCCATAATCATCACAATGATGACAAATCACGGCTTGAACTATCTTGCTTTGCATGTAATGAGTCTATCTCATATATTAGTTTCACCTTTTAAGTTGCTGCACTGAAATAAATGAACTTTTGCACCATATTCTAATTTTTCGAGTTTCACCTGTATAAACTCAAAAGTCTCCTCGTATTTTTTTTTTTTAATGTCTTGTATTGAACTGCATCAGGTTATCATTTTTCTGTAGTATGTTGCCATCTAGTGGCAGTTGTGGACCACTACAACTTGCTTACAATATGATTTTGGTATCTTCCAATGTCCTCATCTCCTCTTTAGTTATTTCAGTCCCAGCTAGACCCTTCCTGTTTCTTCCACATTCCCTCAGTTAGTTAATATTTGCAGAGACAGAGCTTAGGAAAGTCATTGTCTACTCACTCTTTAAAAATTAGCTGCAGTAAAATTGTGTTGGATTCAACTTTTGTGTCTTATTGAAGAGTTAAAGTGTTGCTAAACCCACAACAGTACAATCAGTCTGTAGATGCAGTAAAGCATGCTTGTTATATACTCACTGTGGGACCTAAGGGTTAATCCTCTGCATTGTGTAAAAACGCTGTTTGATCCTATTTTCTCTGATCCTCCCCTTCTTCCAGTGTCCCCCTCTTATCTCCTGATAAGACATATCCTGTGGAGTCACTCTGCACATGCTCAGCTTGATGTGTATTGCTAGAGAGTTTTTGTTTTCCTTGAGAGAGTGCATGTGATCAGCAGAGGGCCAATCAGCACAGACCAGACAGAGGTCCTGCATCCTACTACAGCAAAAAGAAAACTCTTCCTACAAGCTTTAGCCAGTGCTCTGCTAGATACTGATAGAAGTCACAAGACTGCTATATACTGCTGATGAGAAAAGGTTTTCAGCAGTCTTATATTTATTAAAATAATTGCATTTCCTTGTTCTGCATACTGTGGGAGACCAGATATAGTGAATGCAGGGTCCGGGGAGACCAGATATAGTGAATGCAGGGTCCGGGGAGACCGAATATAGTGAATGCAGGGTCCGGGGAGATCAGATAGAGTGAATGCAGGGTCCGGGAGACCAGATATAGTGAATGCAGGGCCCGGGGAGACCAGATATAGTGAATGCAGGGTCCGGGGAGACCAGATATAGTGAATGCAGGGTCCGGGGAGATCAGATATAGTGAATTCAGGGTCCGGGAAGATCAGATATAGTGAATGCAGGGTCCGGGGAGACCAGATATAGTGAATGCAGGGTCCGGGGAGATCAGATATAGTGAATGCAGGGTCCGGGGAGACCAGATATAGTGAATGCAGGGTCCGGGGAGACCGGATATAGTGAATGCAGGGTCCGGGGAGACCGGATATAGTGAATGCAGGGTCCGGGGAGACCAGATATAGTGAATGCAGGGTCCTGGGAAAGCAGATATAGTGAATGCAGGGTCCGGGGAGACCAGATATAGTGAATGCAGGGTCCGGGGGAGAACAGATATAGTATATGCAGGGTCCGGGGAGATCAGATATAGTGAATGCAGGGTCCGGGGAGACCAGATATAGTGAATGCAGAGTCTGGGGTGACCAGATATAGTGAATGCGGGGTCTGGGGAGACCAGATATAGTGAATGCAGGGTCGGGGAGACCAGATATAGTGAATGCAGGGTCCGGAGAGACCAGATATAGTGAATGCAGGGTCTGGGGGAGACCAGATATAGTGAATGCAGGGTCCGGGGAGAAGAGATATAGTGAATGCAGGGCCCGAGGTTTAGTAACACTTTAAGCTGCCTGTGGATAATGCCAAGGTAACCATGCTGTCCAGACAGACTGGGCCTGAAGAGGTATGTCAATGCATAAAGTGGCTTTTGTAACAGCTTGCAAAGAAGACACTCCTCCTAAAAGACTGATGTTACAGTTGGCATGCGGTGACTATACATGAATGTAAATTTTGAAATTGGAGGAAAAAATGATTTCCCTACTTCTGCCTGTGAATTAAAGGCTGTTTTTATAGATTTAACATTTACTCGGGTTAACTAGAGTGTTAACAGTCTCATTATGAGCTCATAAATCATATGCCAGCAGATACCATTAAATGTACAAATTTATCTTCTGCTGGTCTGATTATGATAAAATTCTATTATAAAAAACCACATCATTTAAGAGGGAGCAGGGGACAAGTTGTACCAGGAAATTCAATCCAAATTTTCTGGCTGGATATGAATTTGTTTTATTACTGATAAGACTCTGGCCCGGAGCTCACAATTGCCTAACACTTGCCAACAGTACTGGAAAACGTTCCAAAAGAAAGAAGCCCCGCCCTAATTGGCAGTACCTGTTATTAAATGCTTTACTGTTCCTTTTGCATTTTAAAGTGCATGCATGCATCTATGGAATGTATTTTCTATTGAAAGAAAATTGCATAGCTGTGTATCTCATGAAACTGTATGTAACTTTGTTCTGTGCAAATGGGGCAAAATCGAATGTCTGACGCCTATATTCTATGCAATTCGAATGTGAGAATGTGAAAAATACTACATTATAGCCACTAGATGGTGCTGAGGAGCATACATAGTTCCTATGATAGTCATCGCCATCTAGTGGACATAAGGTGGTATTTTCTGCATTCCCACAAATTTAAAGCGAAGCTCCACCCAAAAGGGGAAGTTCTGCTTTAAGGACTGCTCCCCCGCTCCCCATTAAGGATTGGCACCTTTGGGGAGTGGGTACCTGAATTTGACAGGTACCCACTCCCACTTCTGGTCCAATCTCCTAGGCGATCGGAAACGGAAGGTGTCCTCCCTCCCTCCCTCCCTGTAGTCTTTTGGGACACATGAAAGGTCCCAGAAGACTACAGGACCATTCACGAAGCGCAGCCCTACTCGCGCATGCGCAGTGGGTACCCAGCTGTGAAGCCGCAAGCTATCACAGCCGGGTGCCCACACTGAAGATGCCGGCCTCCTGGAATACAGGACGGCCGGTGAAACGGGCTGTGGGGGACACACCACAGGACCGAGGGACAGGTAAGTGGCTGTTTTTTTAAAAGTCAGCAGCTACAGTTTTTGTAGCTGCTAACTTTTATTTTTTTAGTAGGTTGAGTGGAACTCTGCTTTAACTTGCGGAGCATATCCAAGTAGGGGGTGCTCGCGCGCCTGCTGCCCCATCTGTGCTGTCATTCGGTGCAGCACAAGTTGGTCAGCAGGTCCCAGCCAATGATTTATGGCTGGGACCTGCTGATTGGCTTAGCGAATCACAGTACTGGGCCCTGTGTTTACTAACAACACAGGGCTCTGTACACGGAGCAGCAATGTGGCAGGTTTTTTTCTCCCTGCAAAGCAGGGAAATAAAACAGACACATTTCTTCATAATAGCAGCAAAAAACAACTATATCAACAAAGCTCAATGGAATTTATCATAGTGAATGACGGGACTGATACATGTATGGCCAGAATTGGCTGAACAAACTTGGACTCAAAGTAGTTTTCCTCAGACTGCTATCTGATCTCTGTGATTTACTAATGAACTCCAGCAACAAGTCATGCGTCCGGGGAGGTGATGTGGAAGGAGATGTGTAGGTCCATCTGGCGGAGTGTGTATACAGAGTGATAATCTCTTGCTGCTGGTAGTAAACACACATCCTTCCAGCCTGTCAGTCAGGTAAGCAGAGATCTGTGGATGAGACATGACACCAGTACAGACTGAGCCCCGGGCGGGGAGTGGACGCAGCGTCCCGACGGACGGTCGCTGTGCACACCGCGCTCTGGAATACATTCTAAATTCTGCTAAACCCAAACCCTGTGCATGCAGGATAAAGGAAACAAATATATTACACTTTATTTTTTAGGATTAAAACAGAACTTTGAGCTGAGAAATTAAAGATAAAATCGTGGAGGAAAATTATTTACTCCTGCAATAGGTCCTCCTTCTTGCTGGAAGGGTTAAATGCTACTTTTGTCCCAGGGATGATGAATAAGATGGTATACTTGCTTATATCTCCTTTTCCCCAGCAGCTGGTGCTCCAGGGGCGTAGCTACAGGTGTCGCAGGGGTCGCAATAGCAATGCAGCTCCATGCTCCAGGGGGTCTGTGCAGCCCCCCTGTACACCTGTAAAGGAGGGATGGCTGCATGTACTGTAGAGCAACCGATCCCCTCTATCTATCACCTGCAGCTGCTGAATGCTGGGCTACTAGTAAGCATCTCTGGGGCATGGGGGCAGGAGAGAGAGCACAGGAGCCTGGAGAGGATGGGCAGCAGGGGCGGCTGCATCTAAAGCAACCAATCCCCTCTATCTTCCATCTGCAGCTGCTGAATGCCGGGCTACTAGTAAGCATCTCTGGGGCACGGGGGCAGGAGAGAGAGCACAGGAGCCTGGAGAGGATGGGCAGCAGGGGCGGCTGCATGTAGAGCAACCGATCCCCTCTATCTTCCATCTGCAGCTGCTGAATGCCGGGCTACTAGTAAGCATCTCTGGGGCACGGGGGCAGGAGAGAGAGCACAGGAGCCTGGAGAGGATGGGCAGCAGGGGCGGCTACATGTAGAGCAACCGATCCCCTCTATCTTCCATCTGCAGCTGCTGAATGCCGGGCTACTAGTAAGCATCTCTGGGGCACGGGGGCAGGAGAGAGAGCACAGGAGCCTGGAGAGGATGGACAGCAGGGGCGGCTGCATGTAGAGCAACCGATCCCCTCTATCTTCCATCTGCAGCTGCTGAATGCCGGGCTACTAGTAAGCATCTCTGGGGGCAGGAGAGAGAGCACAGGAGCCTGGAGAGGATGGGCAGCTACATGTAGAGCAACCGATCCCCTCTATCTTCCATCTGCAGCTGCTGAATGCCGGGCTACAAGTAAGCATCTCTGGGGCACGGGGGCAGGAGAGAGAGCAAAGGAGCCTGGAGAGGATGGGCAGCAGGGGCGGCTGCATGTAGAGCAACCGATCCCCTCTATCTTCCACCTGCAGCTGCTGAATGCCAGGCTACTAGTAAGCATCTCTGGGGCACGGGGGCAGGAGAGAGAGCACAGGAGCCTGGAGAGGATGGGCAGCAGGGGCGGCTGCATGTAGAGCAACCGATCCCCTCTATCTTTCATCTGCATCTGCTGAATGCCGGGCTACTAGCAGGGGCGGACTGACAACTCATAGGGCCCCCAGGCAATAGGGGATCATGGGGCCTCTGTGTCCTTGCCCAAACTCAAAAAAGCCTATAAAAAAGGTACCAGGGGCATCTCATGGGGCCCCCTACTGATCCCGGGCCCTCGGGCAGTGCCTGAGTTTCCAAATGGTCAGTGCGCCCCTGGCTACTAGTAAGCATCTCTGGGGCACGGGGCAGGAGAGAGAGCACAGGAGCCTGGAGAGGATGAGCAGCAGGGGCGGCTGCATGTAGAGCAACAGATCCCCTCTAGCTTCCTCCTGCAGAGGGCCACTGAATGCCTGCTTCTCTTTTAGTCCTCCCTTACCTAGGGCTGAATGGGAGCTGGCACTCGATAGTGAGCATTCAATGGGCAGGAATTAGGGGCTGGGACTTGGCGGGCTCGGTATCACAATTGTTTTTTATGCAACGTGGTTAGGGCAGTCTTGTCCTCAGCCTCAGTCCTCAGTCGGAGTCCTCAGCTACACCCAAATCAGGGAGAGGGGCAGGGCACAGGCAGCAGCCAGGTCTGAAGATGGAAGTTCCATTTTTCTCCACTGAATGCTGAAGGCAGACCAACCACATAGTTGGTTGCTAGACGCAACCACAGATCTGCTAAAAGGCAACCACATAGTTGGTTGCTAGACACCAGGCAGCCCTAGCAACCAACCACTAATGCTGGCAGCATCGAGTGGAAACCAGGAGGTGGGACTGCAGCAGCGGAGCCACAGGTAGAGCAACAGAAGAATAATTCAAGAATGTCAGAGATGTATAATGATGTCATGTAAGATTGATGGACCCATGTGTTCCCTGGTGCCTCCCTGGCAGGCAGTGTTTTTACGAACCCTTCATGTCCGTAATGGATATTCATGGACAGTTGTAAAAGTCAGACTTTTACAAACTGTCTGTGAATTTCCTGATGGTTGGCAACACGGATGATTGAAATTCTTTACTATAGCAACAAGGTCACTTGAAGTGAGAATTTTATCGACAGATCCACTTTAACTTAAATTGCAACACTGGCTAGATAGATATATAGTGGTTTTATCACTAGTTAAAAAACATTGAAAGAACGTTAACGGGCCCATAATTCTGGGTTTTTCAAGGACACAGATCTGCTGAAGAGGCCTTGTAAAAGGCAACCAAAACCACAGAGAAGATAAGGAATGGGGCCATGACTTGGTACATTACACACCACATATGGAGCTGCAAGCAATGTTGTATGGAAGATATATGGAATTTTCATTCATTTCTAAAGGTTACATTCACCTCTAGGGAGCAAAAACTGGAGGATGATGGGATGTAACTTAGAACCTCAGCTTGTCTCGTACATGACCCGGAACAAAGACCGTTAACTCCTTCCTCCCAAAGGAAAGACAGATGAATCATAGTACACTAAGCTAAGCACTGTAGTCATATCGTGAGGAGGGCTTTGATGGCTTCTCCTTTGATGGTCTTGTGGAACAATTTTCTAAATGTAGATTAAAGGCCTTCCTTTTCCGTGGTGGAATAAACATGGCCAAGTTGTGTGTATGCAAGGTGTCCATGGGTGGAGATGGCATATGTGCCATACTATGGGTGAGTAAGGTTGGTGTTAACTCCATCCTCCCAAAGAAGAGACGGATAACTCAGTAGACTATGCTAAAAA